CGGCATCCAAGTCATCAAACGGGGATGTGAGATCAAAGGGGCAAAGCAAATCAAGAGCGGCATCGAGCTCGTCTTCAACGAGAAGTGAAGAAGGAAACCTTGGGGTCAGTGAGAGAGTGCTGGGGGCCAGAAGAGAAGATTCTGTCAAGAAAAAAGATGGCGACTGCTCGACCAGCTGAAACCTTCTAAATCGGCTCATTCTTTGATTGATCAAATGTCCCTTTGAAGCACAAGTTTAGAGGTCTTGAGAGAAATGGATATGGATATGGCTATGGAGCTTTGCGGAGACAGTAGTTTAAGTACACCGAGAAAAGCACGAGTGGAATGAAGGTGATGGTGACGAAGGGTACTATCGTAATATTGATTCAGCCAAATTATTTAACTCAAAATTTTGTATCAACTTTAAAGATTATTCTTTAGGAAAGGTTGAAACCATACCGTCTATACTGTAGCTGTTGAGACTCAACCCCTGTTTATTCTTTTCAACTTTATCTCTATAACCAGTTGAGATGTCCATTCGAGCAAGATTATTTAATATTATAGCCAACTTGATTGGATTGATCTGACTCTTGTCCCTTAAGAAATATGAAGAGTTCGAATTTCCTCTGAAAAAATCAATTGGGCCAACACTTTACCCCTTAATTGGACTGGCCCAGTGCGAATGGAGATTAGTCTCTGGAAAAATTAACCTGGACAACATTTTATCTCTTAAATGGGCTGGTCCGGTGCGAATAGAGATTAGTCTGAGTATGATATGGAGCTAAATGTGTTTCTTATAGTTAGGATCTGCTCAAGAAACTTCGTGATCCGATTAAAAATTATTTAATATTTTTATGGACAATGGTATTATAAAGTTGACGGATTGAGAATCGTTTAGGGTGAGTGGGTGACATACAATTATACGAAATATATATAAATTTTACTCCTCGAATATTTTTATTTAAAATATTCATAATTATTTACAAAATAATATATGTTCTATATTTTTTCAAATATTTTCAGTCCAAAAAATCTAAGTCCCCGTAATGATTCGAACCTATGACGATCCAATTAGAATGGTAACTACTCCGTATTAAATTAAAATATTATCAAAAAAATAAATAATTAATAATTTGAATCAAATATTATTAAAATTGAATACATAAAATAGAACAAATGAAATACTCTGTAATATTTATATATTAACAAAAGGAAATTAGCATAGACAAGAGAATCTTTGATTGATGGTACATAGTTGACAATTACTGTGGCTGCCATGTGACCTTTCTGCCTCGAGGCCTCAGTAGCATCTAGCTGGTTACACGTCAATTATTTACAATTTTTTTTTTTTTTTGGTGAAAACAAATTTTTCTTTTTTAATAAATCATGTTTCTTGCTCCACCTAAATATATTTTGGACCTCATAAATTCATTTTCATGCTCATAGAAAGTTAAATTTAATCAATATAACTTTGAGACTTTGACACTAAACTAAACATTTCCACTCACAAAAAATTCAATTACATAAACTTAAATCTATGGTTGAAAAAATCACTAAGCACTTCTCAAACTTTCCAAGGGCAACTAGGTGATAATCAATCAACTGTCTAAACCACCCATTATGATGAATGTTAAGCGGCCGGTAGGCCAACTCGACGCCAATTAAAAGCAGAGATTTAAGATTTTAATCCTGTGTCAACATAAAAACAGGAAAAATATGCTTTCTAAAACAGCGGAAACTCGGAAAGATAATGAGAATCATGGCACATGGGTCACGACTAGGACTTTTGTCTTCTTTTTTTTTTTTTTTGAAAGCACTAGGACTTTTGTCTTATTCTCAATTGTACAAAATCGACATTTATATTTTATAGTCAAAATCAAATGATGAAAGCAATACTACATGGAAATGGCTTTATCCGACGTTAGCCGGATTCCCTGGTTTACTCATTGAGAAATTATAATATTTTAATAAATTTTATTAGGTGTACTTTAAAATTATACTCTCTCAATTTTATTTTCTCATGTAGTAACTAGTAAATAGTTTATACAATTTTATTATGTGACTTTCTATAAAAGTCTTTATGTCAAGAATTTAAGAGTGTGAGTAGAAGTTGAGAATATGAATAATATTTTTTGAGTTAATATCCAAAATCGTACTCAACTATAGTGATTTTTCTCAATTTCGTCCTAAACGACTTTGGTGACCTAATATCGTCCCAGACTTTTGTGTTTCGCTCAATAGTCCTCCATTTGTTATTCAGTCAAATTGGTGTTAAATAAAAAGACAATTCAGTAATGTCAATATTGATATCTCTTTACTTTCAACTTGTGAAGTGCGAAATTCCTCTTTCTTGTACGAATTACACCCAGAATTACTCCCGGACCTGCAAATTAAATTTTATATTCGCAGTTTTAGGAGTAATTCTGGAAGTAATTCGTAAAAAAAAAGGGATTTCGCAGTTCACATGTCTATGAGTAAAGAGATGCCAATATTAAAATTACTGAATTATCTATTTATTTAACACCAAATGGACAAAATAACAAATGAGGGACTAAATTGAGCAAAAACACAAAAGTCTATGACTAAAAAAGTCTGGAACGAGTCTAGGACGATATTAGGTCACCAAAGTTGTTTAGGACGAAATTGAGAAAAATCACTATAGTCGAGGACGATTTTGGGTATTAACTCAATATTTTTTTGTTTTAATTTTAGAATAAAATGTCAATATTTTAATTACAGTATAAAGTAAAGAAAATTACTGAGAATATTTTTATGTCGGAGTGAAAGCGCCGAGATATTGGACGGCATGAAAACAGCCGGAAAATCTAACCATTAAAACGCCCATAGAGACGGCCCCAAACGCCGCGCCGCGTATCAACGCTCCGTAATAACTCCCGCCGCCGCCGCCGCCGTCCCGTTTCCGTTCAGCTGTCGTCTCCGTCTTCTCGGAGCCCGGCCGTCGTTCGGTCAACTCTTCAGGGACGTCGTAGACCGTAAACCCCAACTTCCTGAATTCCTCCTTCCCGACATTACTGTCGTCTTCTTCTTCGTTCAGACTTGAGTCGCTGCACGAACACACCGACGAATCATCCGGGCCGCCGCCGTTCGCCGCCTCCGCCCTGTAGCCGTCATACCGGCGAATTGCGGCGGCGTCGTTTCCTGAGAGTTTCTTCCGCAGTGTTGAGCGTCTCATGGTCGTCACCTTCGGTGATTATTAACAGTACATTACATGCAAAGATCATTAAACAACGAAGTGATCGAATGCTATAAGGACGTGACGGTTACTGACGGTTGAGGAACATACGGGCGTCATATTCTTCCTTCAAAGTGGTTTACTGGGCCTACTAAAGCCCATAGATCAGGGTTCATAGACTCATAGTGCACTGTGGACCTTTAGTGTATATATATGTATCTTTATGTTATAAGTTTTTTTATCTTGTGTTATAAAATTTTGTACCTTATGCAAATTAGCAATTGTATGTTATGAATTTATTTGTGTTATTTTGTGAAATTTTGTGGCTAACTTGGCTATAGACAAAAATTATGTACCTAAATCAGATTTATTGAAAAAATAAGTAAATATATAACATGTTATATATATTTTGTGTTGTGATTTTTGTATCTTGTGTTATGAAATTATGTACCTTACGACTATGAATTCTAGACCACGTTGTTTCGATTCAGGATCCATAATGATATGTGGACTCTGATCCATGATATAAATTGCCCGAATTTACTTGGAGAGTTGGAGCATCTTGATCACGGATAGAATATAAAAAGAAGATATATGCATGTAAAAACAGTCTAGTTGATTACTAAATGGTAGACTCTGTTTGGCACAGCTTATAGCTCATTTTAAGTTATTAATAGGCTATAAGCTCTGTTTGATAGTGTTCCTAAATAAGCTTTTCAAAAATAAGAGATTATTTTGAAAAGCTACCTTTGGTAGCTTTTCAAAAATAAGTTAGAAGCTTCCTAACTTTTTTTCATAGTTATCCTTAATTAAAACTCTTTTGGCCTTTTTTTTCTCCTCTTATATATTTATTCATTTCTTCCGCAACTCTTTACTACAGCAACTCCAAAGTTCTAACTCCAACCGTCCGTTCATAAACAAATGACATCATTTACCCTTACCAATTAAAAAAAAAAATTCTTCTGTTTTAATTTAATATATATCTCATATATATTATAAAAATAAATTTATATATATATATATATATATATATATATAAATTAAACATATCTCATATATTTAATAATATAAAAACAATATAATAATCACATCATTTAAATTTTATGAAAATGTCATTTTTAGTCTTTTTACATTTATCAGCTTATCAAAAAGTTAATTTTACCAAACACTTTTAAGCATAATCAACTAGTTAATAGCTCTTCAGTTTTGAGCTCCTAGCTTATAGCTTTTCAGCTTTCAGCTACCTTTTCAGCTAGGTTTGTCAAATATTACCTATAAGGATATAAAATTGAGCCTAATAGCAACAGCCTGAGAGTTTTATTTCATACGGTGGGTTCTTATAGGTACTAAGTACTAGTGTTCTTACTTAATAAGTCACTGAGTCATCGTGACTTATCTTTTCACGATTATGTCAAGTAAGAACAATAGAGTTTACCTTTTATGACAAGAAAAAAAAAAATATTACAGGACTAATTCTTTTAGTTCGACTGATCATATTAATATCTTTTAGGCAATTGACGACTTAAGATTAGTACTAGTCAGGTCAGAGTGTGGGGGCCCTTAAGGTTGGGGTTCAACCTTTGGAAGATGATTAGTACTAGCCAATAATGTTTTAAAAAAACGGAGATATGGTCGTCGATCTTTTCACGGACGTGATTATTAATTTAATTAGCAACATAAATGCCATTATTCACAATTCTATAATTAATTAAATCTGTATTAGTAATCACTTGTTTTGATTTGCAACTATAAATACCGCCACCATTACTAGTTTCTTCAATCAAATCATTTCCCAGCAAACTCTCAAATTAGCAACAGATCAGAGGAGACAATAATTAATATCTATGGCTTCCAAAGCTCAAGCATCGGCCGCCACCATTTTTCTTTCCTTCAACCTCTTCTTCTTCGCCGTCACCACTGCAACTCATCAATACCCTGCTATCCCCGGATTCCCCGGCGGCACTGGCAACGGCGGCGGAAATGGTGGTGGCAACGGCGGCGGAGGAGGAGCAGGACGATGCCCGAGAGATGCTTTAAAATTGGGTGTATGTGCAAATTTACTAGGCGGATTGGTGGGGGCTGTGGTGGGTTCTCCTCCGACATTGCCATGCTGCAGCTTGATCGCCGGACTGGCAGATTTGGAGGCGGCGGTTTGCCTTTGCACCGCCATCAGAGCCAACGTGCTCGGAATTAATCTCAACATTCCGGTGGCTCTCAGCCTGGTCCTCAATGATTGTGGGCGTCAATTTCCAAATCGCTTCACTTGCTAAGCATATATATGTTGCATGCAAGCAAGCTATAACACTATCGTGTACTTTATGCAATTTCATGTTTATGTTTATGTTTTGCTCGCATGGGTAGCTCAACTGGTTATAGAGGTGAAACTTTGGAAGAATGATCAAGGATCGAGTCTCACCAGCGGCAGTGTGGGAGCAATCTCTCAAAGTGAGGGGCTCCTTGTGCGAAGTAAGCACCGGTCTAGCCTCTGTGGTTCATGTTCAGTTGAGTCACCATGATTTACATCCTCCAAAATGCTCTGTCTGGCCGGGGTGTGGGGGCCTCTGTGGTTCATGTTCAGTTGAGTCACCATGATTTACATCCTCCAAAATGCTCTGTCTGGCCGGGGTGTGGGGGCTCTTAGAGTTGTAGTTCAGCCTTTTGGAAGAATGTTTATGTTTATGTTTAATGTGAATGAGTGAGCTTGCTGAGACTACTTATAGTAAGTTCATTATCATGTGATAATGTTAATTAAATTTTAGAGCAAATTACACTTTTGGTCCTGTGACTATTAGGGGTGTGTTAATTTGGGTACGTGACTTTTAAAACTAACAATTTAGTCCTTTAACTATCATTTTTTAGCAGATTTGGTCCTCCTGGCCAAATTGCCGGTGGAATTTGGCTGGAAAGACATTCGAATTTTTAAATCAAATATTAGTGGGGGTAATTCGGTCTTTTTAATTGTAAAAAAAATAGCGTTTGATTTAAAAATTCGAACGTCTTTCCGGCCAAATTCCACCGGCAATTTGGCCAGGAGGACCAAATCTGCTAAAAAAATGATAGTTAAAGGACTAAATTGTTAGTTTTAAAAGTCACGTACTCAAATTAACACACCCCTAATAGTCACAGGACCAAAAGTGTAATTTGCTCTTAAATTTTATTTCACTATCAACTTTTTTATTCATCAATTCGATCTACGTACTACTGAGAAATGAAAATTTTACTAAATGAATATGATTGATTTTATGTTTTATAATGTATAAAATATCATTTTTTTTAGAGTGACGAGGGGAGAGTTTATATCTCTCCATATATACATTAAAAAATGAAATGACTTTGTGTCGAGATTTAATTAACTTTTTTGAAAAATTTACGGCTAGTAAAAAAGTTTAGATATAAAAAATAGTAATTCTATACACACATACAATTCAAATCATCTCACTTTGATGTAATCACTCAAATGCTATTAGCCTTTTAATTTTAGTATTTTATTTTTAATGTAGCTAAAATATCTAAAGGATGTTTTAATATCATTTCTTATAATAATAATAATAATAATAATAATAATAATAATAATAATAATAATAATAACAATAATAATAATAATAGTAATTTCTATTTACATTAGATTTATTCAATATGATAAATAATATTCATATTTTCAAAATAATTACGGAGTAAATTAGTATATTTTGTCAAAAATGTGTTCTACAAATTAAAGAAGTGTTGTATATAACTGCAATTAGAAGTTAGACCGCGCAAATACTAAGGCAATATTTGGCAAACCTAGCTGAAAAGATAGCTGAAAGCTGAAGAGCTGTTAAACTAGTTGTTATGCTTGAAAGTGTTTGGTAAAATTAGCTTTTTGATAAGTTCATAAATGTAAAAAGATTAAAAAGGACATCTTCATAAAATTTAAATTAGTTTATTTACATATTAAAATTTAACATTTTGTCTTCAAAAAAAAATTATCATTTTGAAATAAAACTATTAGCATAATCATGATCTAGCATCCCATAATGAAGTAGCAATATTGTTGCGAATCTCCTCCATCTAATAATAATAATAATAATAATAATAATAATAATAATAATAATAATAATAATAATAATAATAATAATAATAATAATTGCGGTGAAAGTTGCGGATAAAGGAGGAAAGAAAATGTTTTAATTGGGAAGGGTAAATGATGTCATTTCTTTAAAATTATAATGACAAAGATGGAAAAAAGTTAGGAAACTACCAGCTTATTTTGAAACGCTATCTAAGGTAGCGTTCCAAAATAAGCTCTTATTTTTAGTTACGAGCTTATTTTGGAAACATTACCAAACAGAGCTTATAGCTCATTAGTAGCTTAAAATAAGATATAAGCTCCTAAATAAGCTTTGCCAAACAAAGCCTAAGAAATGGAAAAATAATTTTCCCTAAACCATTTCCTCTTTAAGAAATAATTAAGGAAAATAATTTTGCTTTGCACTATTTCCTTTTCAGGTGTATTGCCTCCGCCATTTGCCATATCCAAATACATGCATGAAGACCTACATTTGCAGTTAAGCTGCCTTCCGTAAGAACTAACCATTAAGTAGAGTTTGTTAGATTATTGGCTCCGTAAGAACTAACCATTAAGTAGAGTTTGTTAGATTATTGGCTTGGTAATCATAAATTTTAAATTAAATTTGACATTCCGTTAAGAGTTGTTTGCTTATTAATCTTTTTTGTTTGATCGAGTTGGCCTTTAAGCTGATTTACCTCCTTACGCGCGCTCCAACTTTCACCAACTAGAGTACACATTCAGATAATCATTATGAGCTTGCCCATAAAAATCTCATCCTTTAATCCGAATAGCCCACCCCTACTAGGAACGATCACTATTCTATTAAAAAAATATTCTAAATTTTAAAAGTTTGTAATATTTATGAAAATGACATCGCTCTTTTGTACTTGACTTTTTATTCATCAAATTTTGTAGACTCCACCGCCCCCCCTCCTCTCTCTCTCTCTTTCTATATATATATATATATATATATATATATATATATATTTTTTTTTTTTTTTTTTTTTTGTAAACATTCAGTATATATAAATTGTATATTTTGACCCAAGTCTGCATTGCAATATGCACCCGGTCCATGGCATAACTATTCGCAATACATCTTACCACTCCATGCCACACCTAGTAAGTGGATTAGGCCATGCCAAGAAATTATTGGAGCAACTGGATCACGGGATTGGATAGAGTCATCGTAAAAACTGAGATTTTAATTTGTTGATCTTCTCACGGACCTCAAATATATATTAATTTAATCGGATCGATTAACCAACTAAAATATTGGTTTTAATTTCTATGTAATTATTAATGTGAAATGATTTTATATATATAATAATTAATTAAGCCTACATTTTATTAATCACCACCAGTAGGCAGTAGTTTTGATTTGCCAAGTATAAATACCTCCATTTCTAGTTTCTTCAATCACCAAACTCTATCAGCTATTAACAATAGAGAAGATATATAATCATTATTTCTCTCTAACTGGGATAAGATCGAATATGGCTTCCAAAGCTCAATCCTCGGCCGCCGCCATTTTTCTTTCTCTCAACCTCCTCTTCTTTGCCACCACCACCGCAACTCAATACCCTGCTTTTCCCGGATTCCCCGGCACTGGCACCGGAATCGGTGGTGGTGGAGCCAACGGTGGCGGTGGAGGAAACGGTGGTGTCAACGGCGGAGGAGGAGCAGGACGATGCCCGAGAGATGCTTTAAAATTGGGTGTATGTGCAAATTTAGTAGGCGGATTGGTGGGGGCGGTGGTGGGTACTCCTCCGACATTGCCATGTTGCAGCTTGATCGCCGGATTGGCGGATCTAGAGGCGGCGGTTTGCCTTTGCACCGCCATTAGACTCAATGTTCTTGGTATTAATCTGAATGTGCCGCTTGCTCTTAGCCTGGTTATCAATAACTGTGGACGTCAACTTCCAAATGCCTTTACTTGCTAACCACATTTCATGCAAGCTTGCATGCATGCATGCTAACTATATATAATACTACAGGATTGGGTGCAATCATTTATAATATTACGTATTTTATGTAACTCATTAAATGTCATTTTTTTTTTTTTTGCATGTGTGTGCTTATGTTTAATGTGAACAAGTGAGCTGAGCTTGCTAAGTGTATGTATAGCAAGTTTATAATTGTGTTTGATTGAATATAAATTTTCTATTTATCTATTGTACTACAGAAAAAAGAAATTGATATGATTGATTTTGTAAAATTCAAACTTTCTACCTCAATATAATCTTTATATTTAGCTAGCTGAATATTCATATATATGGCTTACCTTATCACATAAGAGTTATTCCACTTAATTAATGGAGTGCTAATCTCTAACATTACTAGGTCAAAAACCCAACATATATATCTAATATTACGGAAAATTGCATTTTAAGTCCTTCAGTTATACCCGTAGTACAAATTTAGTCCTTGAGTTATATATATGTGTACTGTTACCATCTTTAACCCCTTTTTGATTGCTACTAGCTCTATTACATTGTAGTATCTTTAACCCCTAAGTTATGCACGAAGTGGTGATTTTAGTCCCTCGGTGACTATTTCTACTACTAATTTGTCACTTAATAAAGTGGTTGATTTAAGGTGTGTTTGGTTCGCACATAGGAATCGGAATCGGAATGGGTATCAAATACTTGGTAATGATAATGGATTTTGGTGAAAATATTTAACATGTTTGGTAGTAGGGTGGAATGGGAATGGTTACTAATACTAGTGCTTGAGAATGAATAAGGGAATGAAACCCTTATTGTATTTGGGTATGAGTTTTTCAATTGATGGGATATTCGAAACCCATAGTAGTGTTCTAAAAATCTATCAACCAAACAACAACAATCACTTTCATACCCATTCCTATGGACAAAATCAACCAACCAAACACACCCTTAATTTGGTCCTCCAATGACTAAAATCGTCACTCCATGCATAACTTAGGAGTTTAAGATATTCACACATATAATTCAGGGACTAATAAGACTATACCACGGATATAATTGGAGGACGAAAAATGTAATTTTTTCTATTTATATTTTTAAAAATAATTTTAAATTAATACTTGTATTACTTTAGTAAATAAATATGCTAAATTATCAACTAAATATATTATTTACGATATTATTTCAACTTCATTTTTAAAGAATTTCTGAATCAGACAGACGAATTAGTCTAAATATAGAAACTTACTTATTGCTTTGTGAACATACAACTTTATATTTCAATCGTCCTATGTTGTCATGCAATACATCCTACCACTCCAATACTCCATGCCACACATTTATCTAAAAACTAAACTCACTAGCGAATATATGCTTATACCGTAAACTATGGTTCATATATACATATATATATATATATATATATATATATATATATATATATATATATAGTAAGATGTACCTTAATACAAGTTTATTTTTAGTCTTCTATAAATTTATTTTGTTTTACGCACAATACACTAAAAATAAACTTATAATATACTAAAAATAAACATGTACCAGACCTTGTTTAGGGTAATTGAAGTGAGGGCGGACCACTATCTCTTGATTATTCTGATCAAAGGCTTTCTTTTTTCTTTTTACTAATCAAGATAGTACTCTTTATAGTTATGTTAATCCACTAGAAATTAACTAGTATAGTACATCAGTAAAACACAAGCACTAGCTACAACAATAGAGCTCTACTACGACATACATGGACTCTCAAATCTTAATCCCTGATATGGCGAGCACGGATAATTAAACTACTTTTTTTCATGTGGATCCCAATACAAATGTCTACCTTAAGATAAATTTTGTATGAAAATAAAAGTTGAGAGTAGAAAATAGAAACACGCATAATATTTTTGATCCATAGCAATAACCGATAGAATGAGTCAAGTGTTAATCTTTGTTCCCAAAAAAAAAAATTAAAAAAAAATAAAAAATAAAGAAGAATCTGCCACCGTTATTTTCTAGGTCGCGGAATATGCTCAACATTTCGCGACTGTTTCACAACAGTCACGGAAAGTTCAAGTTCCGTGACCCTAATATATGCTACTGTTGTACAACAGTTCCAGAAAGTCCTTTACAATAGTAGCGGGTTATTTTGTATTAGTGAACAGTAAAGGCAGGTAAATTTACTTTGTAAAGTATATCCGAAGTGCACGATATAATTTGCCACACCACATGCATAATGCATTGGCTTGAAGCGCTGATCCGGCCGACTTGGAGCAACCGGCATGGATCACGGGTTGCGGGTCATCGTAGAAAACTGAGATCTTGCATTATATTCTTGAATTGCCGATCCTTTCACGGGCGTCAAACGTTTATTTCATCAGATTGGCCATCCAGCTAAGATATTGGTATATATCTATGTAAGTATAATTAATTAAGTCTATATTAGTAGCCACTAGTTTCGATTTGCCAACTATAAATACCTCCATTACTAGTTTCTTCAATCACCAAACAAAAGAGAAGAGAATCATTAAAATTGTTTGTAATTGGGGATAATATATCTATATATGGCTTCCAAAACTCAAGCCTCGGCCGCCGCCATTTTTCTTTCCTTCAATATCTTCTTCTTTGCCGTCACCACTGCAACTCAATACCCTGCTATCCCCGGATTCCCCGGCGGCACTGGCACTGGCGGCGGTGGCACCGCCGGCGGAGGCAACGGTGGCGGAGGAGCAGGGCGATGCCCGAGAGATGCTTTGAAATTGGGTGTATGTGCAAATTTACTAGGCGGATTGGTGGGGGCTGTGGTGGGTACCCCTCCGACATTGCCATGCTGCAGCTTGATCGCCGGATTGGCGGATATAGAGGCGGCGGTTTGCCTTTGCACCGCCATCAGAGCCAACGTGCTCGGAATTAATCTGAATATTCCGGTCGCTCTTAGCCTGGTCCTCAATGATTGTGGACGTCAACTTCCAAATGGCTTCACCTGCTAAGCAATATAATTCATGCATGCTATAATATATATATATATATATATATATATATATATATATATATATATAAATTCTCTGGGTGGCATTTTGTGTTTATGTTTAATGTGAATTAACGAGCTTGCGATGCATGTATTGCAAGTATGTCTTCATGTGATTATGTTAATGAAATTGTATTTCCCAATTCTCGTTGAATATAAATTTTTTATCGAGTAATGCCACTTCTAAAAAAAATTCCTTCATTATTTTTCCTCATGACTATATTGTTTGATTGGTTATTTTACATTTTTTTCTTGAATTAATACCTAATATGTTCCTCGATTATAATGGTTTTTTTTTTAATTTCGTCCTAAACGACTTTGGTGACCCAATATAGTCCCAAATTTTTTTTTTTTTTTTTGCGCAATTCAATCATCTATTTGTTATTTCATCCATTTGGTGTTAAATAGAGGGGCAATTCATTAATTTCAATATTGACATCTCTTTACTCATAAACTTGCGAAGTGCGAAATCCTCATTTTTTTTTACGAATTACTCCCAAACCTGGGGAATAAAATTTAATTTGCAGAGTTGGGAGTAATTCGTAAAAAAAAAAAAAAAAAATAGGAATTTCGCACTTCGTAGGGCTGAGAGTAAAGAGATGTCAATATTGAGATTACTGAATTGTCCTTTTATTTAACACCAATTTGACAGAATAACAAACGCATGACTAAATTGAGCAAAAACACAAAAGTCTGGGACTACATTAGGTCATCAAAGTCGTTTAGGACGAAATTGAGAAAAACCACTATAGTCGATGATCATTTTGAGTATTAACTCGATCGTTTTTTTTTAATTAAAAATTAATGGAACAGCTAATTCATAACACCAAATAATTATAATCCATGAAAGAAATTTAGGAGGTGAAAAATTAAGAGAAGTCAAAGGAACCTCAACAATGTCAATTTTTAGGGGTTTTTATAGTGACATATAGGAAAGAGAGCGAAGAGAGAATTCAGAAAAAAGAGGGGAAAAAAGGTTGACAAAAAAAATAAAAACAAAAAAAAAATGTAATTTTACTTGCTCAGTTGGCAATTTCAATGACAATTTCCCCGTTGCGAGTTACACAAAAAATTATATTTGCATGAATAAAAATCGATCCCCCCACCCAACCCCACCCCACCCCACAATTGTATTTGCATGGTTGTAGTTGGCCTTAGAAGAATTATCCTTTTTTATTTGAGTATATTTGACCATAATTGTGGGTAATAAAATTCATCATTGCTCAAAGACACAAATAAAATGAACTTAAGTGTTTATTCACAACTAAAAACATATTTTTTAAATTATTTTAAAGTAGTCAAAACTTTAAGATTTTAGGTCAAAATTAAAATTGTAATTCTGAATATTTAGGGTATTAGAAAAATTATAGTCATTATTCCTAGCTACCCCAGTCGAAAGTGCAGTGGTTGATAACATACACACCACTAACATAAATTGTTAGAATATTTGGTGGGTTAGAGTGTTAAACAAATAAACACTTAAATGTCATTGAATGTATGTTTTCCCTTAATTTCCAACCACCTATAATTAAAGTGTTTTTAATGATAAAAGGTATGTAAACCCGATGATTTTTGGTGAAAAATCAATTTCTTGCTAAGGTCTTGCGATTTTTTCTTTACTATGCCTCCTCCTCCTCCCCTTTTTAACTCTTCTCTAAATATACTTCAATCCAATTTTGAAGGCAATATGAAAAAGTGGAGGGTAACAAGTTTTTATGTAAATTAGGATGAACAATTTGTATCATAATAGTAAAAAGAATTAAAAGCTAGTAAAACATTTTTAATAGTATAAAGACTAAAAGTTGAAGTCAATCCTAACTAAGTTGGTTAAGTTATAATCACAAAGTTCTAAGTTCAACTCACGTATTGACCTTCTTAATTTGAACTGGTGAACTATAAGCAACCTAAACTAATTTAACTAAATTTACCCACCCAATATACACTCTTAAATAGTGACAACGAATTTTTCTCTTCATTCCAAAATAATAATAATAATAATAATAATAATAATAATAATAATAATAATAGTAGCACATTTTCAATATAGTCAAGAAATCAGAAAAGAAATTAGCCATATAATCATATATAGAGTACTCTTATTCATAATTGCTCTACCATATATGTATTTGAAGTGAGGCAACAAAGCATTGATATATGCACAGAGAATTTTTCTTTTTTCCTTTTATTAGTTGCTATAAGGAATTATTTCACCAATTCTCTCTGGAAGCTGGTTAACAAATTAAAACTGCCTCTATATACAAAATGAAGCTTATATATTTATATATGCATATTATATCAGATACATCAAATTACAACAGATGGGTTGGATGACCATTCCATTAGCCACCACCTAACTTGATTGTGAAACTCAAAGCCCTCAGCTCAGCTGCATCCATGGCCTTACTTCTTCAAGCATTCACCAACAAACACAGCATATTTTCACATCTGTAGCAGATTATTCACAGTAACCGTTGGGGAGTTTGTTCTCTGCAAGTCCTGCAAAATTCAATTCCATCGCAGTTATAATCACTGTGTATTCGATGAGTTTCTAAAGGTTATCCCCGAGAAAGCAACAAAACGAAGAGGGCGGAGTTCGAGTGTAGTTTGATGACTAATGTTCAATGTTTCTACTGCTATAAGTATGATTTTTTTTTTGTTAGACCACGAGGTGTCCTGAGTAGGCCCTAACTGTAGGAGGCACCTTTAAACCCGTACCATATTCAGACTAATCCCAGTTCGCACCGGGCAGGCCCAATTAAGGGGAAAAGTGCTGGCCAGATTAGTTTTTCCAGGCAATTTATATCGTGCACCAGGGCGCACATTGCATTGTGCGCCCTGGTGCAAAACGACGTCGTTTTGTACTTTTTTAAAAAAAAATCGCGTGTTCGAATGTACATAATTGTATAAAATAATGTACATAATTGTATAAAATAGTGTACATAATTGTATAAAATAGTGTACATAATTATATACCAGAATGTACATAATTGTATAACATAATGTACATACACTCTGTCGCGTCGACTCCCACACAACTTATCAAAACGACATCGTTTTGGGAGGCGCGGGGCGCACAGTGCTATGTGCACCGTGGTGCAGGGTATAACGATTGAGTTTTTCCATACTGCTATAAGTATGATCTCTATTAGGAAAACCCGCAACCACTACCGCCCAAGGTGTGTCCTGTCTTGTGACCCTAACCGACAAAGGACTGCAAGGATGTAAACCAGCCTAGGTTGTCCATAACTGACCGATTCAAACCAAGAAGGCCAATAGGCCACTCCCACTGGGAGTCGAACTTGTAACCTTATGGTTATCGAGTCAACAACCTGACCAACTTGGCTGGGATTGCCCCGGTATTTTGGGCAGGGGGAGCTATTTAGTTTTGTAGCTAGATTTAAGGAGGTATACCTGGAATATAATTTCGTCGGGGATATGGGGGAGAACTTCCCTAACAGTTTCAGCCATGGCCATTATATGTGCTATGTTGTCGTTTGCTGCAGCCGCAGCCGCGTGTGGAGTTCTCAAGCGCAAACCGGCAGCGTTTTCAGGACTCCTTGTTGGATTTGCAGGTGGGGTGGGTGAACTGGATGTACCAGCGGCCTGGGAGGGATGCATGGCTAAAAGACTCCACGCAGCGTCTTCCAGTGCCGTCTGGGCGTAGGTCTCTCCGACAGCTGCAAGGTGCCTCATCATCATCTGAACTCGACCTAAACTCCCTGATCTGACGACACCTGTAGAAGGACCCGCTCCATCGAAACCCAACCAACTTGAATCAACTCCAGCCCCTCTATAGACAAAAGACAATGTACCCATATCAAGATTCAAGCAGATAAACCCAGCACAATGCAGATTTCGGGTCACGATAATAGTGCCACAATGCATACAAAGCACATAAAAAGAAAAGTAACCAAACCTCCAATCCCGGTTTTCCAAAGGGTTCTGTGTTTGATTACGAAAAACTTCAGTTGGAAGGGGATGACCAGGAAGGTTCGACCGGTCAAGTACCATACTCATTTGACGAGCAAGCTGTTCGTCTCCAGAAACTTCAGCAGCTCGAGTGTTTACTTCATTTTCAGGTCTGCCCACAAAAAGTGGCTTCCGGCAAGTAGGGCAGGAGTAATTCTCGGCTAAACCTTGATCTAACCTGAAACAAATATCAAAGATTAGCATACTTGTCCTCACAATCCCAATATCCACGAGACAAGATAGACCACATATCCATACCAAGATCTCAAGCATGCAAGGTGGAAGAGATGATTGCACGAGAGCTTCTTAGCCTTCGCCATTGGTTCCTGTCAACACCCAACCACACATACCCATTATTCAGAAGAATCGTATGAGAATGTATAAATCAGAGATGCGAGGAGAGTTCCGTTTTTCTTCTCCCCGCAAGAAGAGTAGCTACCCTGCAAATAGCACATTCATCATCGTATGCTTGGAGCTCTTCAGATGTTGCATCGGGAAGTGCACCGTGAAGGGTGCCCAATGCTATTCTCAATTTAATAAATCCTTTGACACGTTTCACAATCGCACTCAACAAGGCCTGGCATTAACATGAATGGACTATATCAAGTAACAGCATGAAGGGGAATTGAACCAATGGTAAAAAGGAACACTAACACGGATATTTAGGAAAAGGACTGCATCCATAAGGTGAAACGCCATGCCATGAAGCCACCAAATATGCACATAATGTGCAAGAGCCATCAATAATGTCATCATGTCCAGGAAAAAACCGACATTCCGAATAAGAACACATTTCCATTCCAAAAATGAACCTGCATGTAATGTAATTGAGAATATAACAGAGACAACAAGAAAGAGAAAAAAAACAAAACAAAAGTCGGAACTTCCTTAAAATAAAAAATATGACTTCATTAAGTAAATGAGGAAGCTTTTTATAAACCCTGCATTAAGTGTAATTTCCTGACCCTAAGGGACAACAATTATCTTAAGACGATAAAGCATCTGGCCGATGGAAATTTGGGAACAGAACAATTTACTCCAAAAACAACAGAGAAAATAAGCCACTATAATAATTGAAATAAAGCGCATAAAAGCTTATGAAAATGAAATGCTTTTTACAAAAATACCTGCAGCAGAAACATCAAAAAGCTTAGACATTCGACTATTTGCAATATCTCCTGAAGAGTGGTGGAGCCATATATCTAGCAACTGAAAACCATGAACCAGAATAGCCTAGAAGGAAGAATAGCAAATCAAAAGCTACTGTAAGTCAGTGAAAATTCTTGTGAGAGTGAAACGAAACTTTTTGATTTAAAACTCAGTTGAGTACCTGAAGTGTCTCAAAGGCAATGCTAAGCGGCTCGAAGAATAGCAGTAAATATATTGGTGAGCTTATTGTGCTGTATATGGTCAGGCACAGCTTTATCCTGGAAGAATATAAAGAAAATTTTTGTAAGAAATAGACGAGAATAAATATTCCACTGAATAGACCCCCATATCATATCAATGGAACAATATTTTTTTTTTTTTAAAACAATGGTAAAAACATATCCACCAACAGATTTAGAGTTGAAATATCATCCGACTAAAAGCTTGATTATGAGATAAAAGTTTGAACACATTGTGAGAGATTCAAACAACAGAGGTCTCCCTGATGAAGTAAAGCATCAACATGAAATCCAAGGGAAAACCAAAGAGGAGGGGACAAACTAGTCTAAAATGTAAAAAGTCTAGGCCTCATTAATAGGCTATAAAGATGGGGCACTAGAGATTTTTCTTTCTCTTAGTTCTATTCCATCCCTACGATAATCTCCCTATATTTTCTTCCTCCTCCCCCACCTCAATCCCTTAATTTCCTTTTCATTCTTTGCTGATAAATAAAATTTCTATGCTAAGACACCCAACATAAATTCATCTCCAAATGGTGATCTCACCAGCAAATAGGAGAAAATAATAAAAGCCATTATTTACTTGACTATAAATATGCTATAGAAAACAAAAACAAACAAAAAACAAAACCAAAAAAAATAAAAATAAAAATGGAAGTACCAGAATAGGTCCAAGGATAAAACCAGCAAAAGCATAGAATAAACTCGAAAATAATTCCAGGGAGTAGCAGTAGGAGAAGCGTTCAAGCGATCAAGGCGATCCCGGGCTAATGCTTGAAACATCTGTATAATACAAATAACACCACAGTGACCCATATGCCAATGAAAATTAACAAACCCCAGCACCGGAATTTATAGTATTGAGTACCTTTAAAGAACAAAGGACGACCAGCCATGTTGACCATAGGCCTGCTTGAAATATTGTCGGTGGAACTACCAGAGGAAGAAAAGTTCCCTATAAACAGCATAAACAAACATTAAAAAAGTCATTTTTCAATTGAATGATTAGATGATGATGTCTATTTTACCTTGTAAATAATGTAGTTGATGAGGCGTTCAGCCAATTTCCTGGTTTCCGATGAGTGCAACTCTCCAAAGAATATAGTCTGAAATTGCATAACAAATTCCCACCAAAATAAAATTTTAATCAAGAAAAGTAATGAACTATGCCCAAAGAATATATTCTGCAAGAGAGATACCTTAAGACACAAAATGAGTAAAACAAATGTGTTAATGACAAAATTGGCCACCAATGCAATAGTGGTGTATGAATCCAAAATCGCCTCTAGTGCCTGACTTGCATTCAATGGGTTGATAATACTCTCGACAATAAGCCCATCAGAACTCACTTTATCAAGTGACCATCCTATCCAACACTGAAGACCAACAAAGCTTAGAACAGTGCAGACTGTTGAAACTGACATGTAGCTCACGCCCATGAGAGACTGATATGGTTCTTCTACGGCAAAAAGAGGTCAAGATTATTCCGAGATCCCTACTCAACTATGGCGCTTGACTCACAAAACTGATTGAAACTTATGGAGAAAATTACAAAGGAGTCAGTCTTTTGCTTCCAACTACTCTTTAAAATCTTCTTGCAGCTGACAGGCCTGCATCATAAAGCAAGAAAATGGATCACCTTTCACTGAGAAACAGTTTTTTTTTTTTTTGGTGGAATAACTCTATGCTATTCTGCATTATGCCAATAAAGATAAAACATTCGTATAGCCTAAAGGTGCATTCTTGGTAACATCTTATTCAAAATGCATCATTTGAGGATAAAGCAAAGCATAAAAAGGGCATAGTGATTATGACCTAAAGAAATGTATCTACATCAAAAATTAAAATTACACAGCAACACCGTAGCAATTTATGATCAAGCAGTGGTGAAGTTGCCATACTGCACAGCCATACATCATCTTTCTTCCTACCCCAAGATAATCCTAACAGCCAAAGACAATCTTTTTTTCTTGGCAGAAGCTAAATTATGCTCAAAACTAAATACAAGGCTTCCAAAGAATAGCACAAAAAATGATCCACAAGAAAATTAAACTATACCATCAATCATAATCATCAAAAGTGAAGACAAAGTAAATTGCCAGAATTAAGTGATTCCTTTAATACATATCTACAGTCAAGAGATTGAACCAAAAGGGTTTCGTATCTTTTCCCATGATTAAGAAACATATCCACAGTTTGAAAGAATGCCCAAACCCCTAGGCAACTGAATCCTCTTTCATTCAAAATTCTAAGCATCCCCCAGCCCAAAAAAAACAAAGAAATTGAATTTGGGAGAATCACAGAATACCCTAGAGGCAGAAACACAAGAACCATAAATTCAAAAAAAAAAAAAAAAAAAAAAAAAACACACACACACACACACAATCGAAAAGATACAAAACTTAATAACCATTATACATACGCACAACAATTGAATTCCAAATAGAATGGAATTTTGATTTTAACAATTAAAAAGGAGCGTGGCGGAAACAAATTGTTAAATATGTAAAAGAGATGGGAATCGAGCACCTCCGATAATCTCTGACGAAGATGCGAAAATTGTCGGCAGTCACATTCTGCGATCTATACAGACCTTTCTGACCTTCATCAGAGATTGAGAAAAAAGGGAGAGACAACGAAAAGGGTCAGTTTTTGCGGGAAGGGAAGGGGGAAGTGATACGGAAAATTCTTGCGATTAATAAAATAAAAATTCTAATATGCATCATCTATCTAATATAATGGGAATTAGGGATTCTTGTTTTTTTTTTTTTTTCCTTTTTTATGTATATTAATATTAATATTATATTTCCAAGATTATCCATATCCACCTGAAGACTGAAGCCCCTGAGCTCTCCTACCTTCTTCCTAGTACCCTCGCATGTTGTTTTTGTCCCCTTAGGGTTCTCTCTGTTTGGATCTTGAAATGGCCATTTTGGTACAACTTTCTCAATTTTAATTTTTCCCCTTTCCCATCAATTCCTTCTGCTTAACATCTCATCGTCTTTTTTGCTTTTTAATTTATTTGTTTTTCTGAAACAACTTTTATTGTTGGTGAGATGTCGTACATGTTTCATATGTTTTTATATTAAAAAAAAAAAAACACATTAATAATTGGTTAAGAGGGGGTTAGCAAATAGCAAGCAATTAATTAAATGGATTGTGGGAATAATTATTGATGGAAATAGTTAAAGGTTGAAGTTTCTACTTCATATAACACAACGTCAGCTGGAGGTGGGAGGTGGGAGGTGTATTAATATGACTAGAATTTTTTATGCGTTATGTGTACAAATAAGTGTTCAATAATTTACTATTTTATATACAGAGTAATAAATTTTTTAGTTTATTTAGATTTATGATATTTATATTATTGAAACTAGTATTTGCGCTCGTGTTCGTGCGATGCACGAAATGAATTTGTTATAATATATTAAGAATATATGAATCGATATATAATTATTTAAATTAGAACATCAAATATTATATAGTACAATTAAAAATATGGTTTGGATCGTTTATATATTTTGATATTATCATTGCTTGAATTTGTGTAAATAATTATTTAAATTAATAGCTAATATCTAGATGTACGCTATAACTTTGAAGATTTTATTTATCATTGTTTAGTATTTTCATAAATTAGACAAACGTGCTTGTTCTCTAACAACTCAGTTATAGAAATGAATTGTTATCCTTATTCATTTGGATGGAAGATATATTTTTTTATCTAGATATATAATAATTTTTTCATTTAAAAAAAAAACTTAATATCACCGATTATATTTACACATTATTGAAATCTCTTTGTAGACAACATTGGTAGTAGCAACACAATATTGTTCATCTTCGTCTAGAGCTAACACCTCCAATCCATCAAGACGGGTTACTTGCGTAAAAATATATAATGGTAGAATATCACTCAATTAGTTATCATTTTATATTTTCAGTCAATTAGTAATATTAGATTAATTTTCAGCCAATTTTTTTATTTTTATTTTCAGTCAATGAGATTATGGTGTTGGAAGTTTTAGATTTTTCTTGATGTGTATATTACCGAGATCTAAGTCGTACTATGAACTCTTTATATTACAAGTGCATATTGATATTTGGTAGTGATAGTTTTTCCCTACATGTTTCATGTGTTGTGAGATGTGTGTCATATATTATCACGTGAAAGTATTGAACAAAATATTAATATTTATTATATTTCTATAAAATACGTAGTAATTAAATATATGACATATTTTATATTATAACTTTGATATTTAATTACAAGATAATGTAAAAAGAAAACAATGAACAATGTAGTGAATATAATTAATTAATGAATTTGAATTGAAGGTAAGGAATCTGTGAATTGTAGAAAATAAATATTTTTTTTGAAGGTTGTAGAAAATAAATATTATATAACTAATGAAATTATATTTATTTTTAAATTTTTTATAATTAATAATTTTTTGAATAATAACATTATAGACATCTAATTCTAAATTAATTAAATGCATATGTATTATTTTTTGTTGTAGCTACCAATTTATTTATATAATTTAATAAGAGTAATAAAGGGGCGTACATACTTTTCATCAACAACATTAAAGTCGATCATTGATTTTTTTAATTTACATTCGTTGTTGAGACAAATTGTTTTGGGAGTTTATCAATAAAAATTGCTACAATTGCTGTCAATAGATGATGGTAATAAATTGCTACAATTGTTGTCAATAGATGATGATAAAAAAAAAATTCAAAATATATTGTTATAATGATATAACTTAGAATTTTTTTAGAAGCTTTCACACATTGATAAAATTATAAGAATAATGTGTAAACTTATTCAATTTGAGACTGTAGGATGTAACATTGTCAATTCTTTGAAAAATTGTCATATCGTTTTAGAGTCCAGGTGTAATTGTATTTCTGATCAACAACTTTGTAATTAGGTCGCGCAGGTCTGACAATGATGTAAGAACAATTTTGTCCAATAAAAAAATAATAGTATACTATTTGTAATGTAATGTATAATTGTGCCGTTATAAAAAGACATACGAAAAAAATATTAATACCATAATGATCCAAATCATTCCAATAATGTAAAAAGTATAATTGAAATATTGAGTTTTGATCTAAATAATCAAACGAAGATTAATTAAACAGAAAAAAAAAAAAAAAAACTTAACCTAGATTTTTTTTTAATGCAAGAGTGATTTTCAAAGTTCATGATCTATAATCTTTTATGCTCAACTTGGAAAGTTTTGTATTTAGTCGGGCTAATTATTTGACTATAGTTTATGTTACATTTTATATTGTATTTATTTTTTTAATACTCCATATATTTTAACATATTCGTAGTATATATTTAACAATTATGCCAACTCTAATTGGGATGTGATCCGAACTTAAGACCTTTCTTATAGAAACTAACGAGTAAGTTAAAAATAATAAATAGTTAAAGGAATATTTCGTTACTAAAGTTTATTATAACGGAATCCAGGGATATTTAAAGGACGAAAATAATATAATAGATGGTAAATAAGAAAAATCATAAAAAATTACCAAAATTAAAATAATATGAACCATTCATTTCAAGAAACAATTACACCGATATTTTTTTTTGTTTCAGGACCTAACATTATTGTCTCTTATTACATCTGTAGATAGATGTAGATGTAGAGATGTAGAGATATTATATTATTATTAGATAATATCCTTTCCCTTCACTTAACATACCATAAACTGATATTCTTTTAATTTGATTGGTAATGTTTTCTTTTATTGAAGATCTTGTAAATAAATCATACGAACAAGGCATGATCATGTGAGAACTCATCACTCATGTTTAGGTACGGACGTACAAATTTTAAAGTGCATAACGCAATAGTACAAAATGTATTATATGATGCGTAAAATTGTATTAAAAAGTGCACACCACAAATTATAAATTTTTACATTGTAATATTTAACAGTGTAACTTAAAAGTAGGTTTTAAAAAATACATAATTTGTTTTTGGGCTTCATAGCACTTAAATGAATTGTTGATAAGTATAATTATACCTTTAAAAAATTTAAGACTCTAATTGACTTTTAAACTAAAATTTAAAGGCTTATTTGAACATTTTCTTAAAATAAAATAAATACATATCTGCTTATTCTCAAAGAGTGACAAAAGTTGTGTTGCCAATTAAAAATCCCGACGAGCGCCAGGTCGCAGAGATCGAATCCCGGTACCGGCGAATCTTAAGGCTTGAATTTTATCATCAATCGCACAGTAAGGCTCAAAGATCGAAAAATCGAAGAGAGATGGGGATAATCAAGAGCAGCTTCTCATTCATAGCTGGGACAGTGTGCGGAATCTACATAGCTCAGAACTACAACGTTCCCAATATTAAAAAGGTCATCGACTCCGCTCTTTTCACGGCTAAGGACGTTGAGGAGAAGTATCGGAAGCCCACAAAGCCCGGCGAATGATCTTTTCAGTTTAATTTCAGGTCACTTCAAACCAATTACCTTTCTATATCTTTTACACGTAGGGACCAATGCAGTTGAAGATTTAATTGTCAATGTTAATGGAAATTCGATGAATTTAATGGCAAAGGTTTTTGTTTAATATTATTGTGTGATATTTTCTTTCTGTGGATACTTGAAATTGAGGTGGAAAATCAAATACTGTATGTAGTTCATGTTTTTTTTTTTTTTTTTTTTTTTTTTTTTTCCCTCTATCGTTATTGTGATAAAAGTGCAAGCTTTTGTGCTATAATTTAACTAACTAGAGTAAAAATTTCGTCTTTGAATACACATAATAAAGTTATTATGTTGTTTAATTGCTCTTCATATTTGGAAGAAAATTATAGGCCAGGCATCAAGAAGTTTTTATTGCTTCTGAATTAATTGCAAGAAATATGCAAGCGCTATTCATTTGGTGCTCCAGATTTTGCTAATGAATTTAGTAAGAACATCTGAAAGCTGCTCTTCAGCATGGATGAATATGCACAGATTCATTAGTTAGGAGCTTACAAGCAGTGTTGATGGAAGGCTTAAAACCGAAAATAGGCTGGAGCCTGCCTCACAATTAAGCATATGTCCCTATATTAACATGTCTGAGCAAGTGAGCATTCCTTTTCACAATGCATAACAAATATGAAAGCGTTTTTAAAATCAAGTCAACAATCTCCCAACACTCAAGAAGTAGCAATGCAAAGGCCCAAGTGACAATTTGAATAGTGGCTTATTGAATAACAGGACATATATGTTTAGAAACCCCAATATCCTTTTATTGAATGTATCCTTCAGCAACAAGACAAGCTTTACACACTTCATATTTCCACCTTATTGCGGTTGTTGATGTTACTTACTTAGGGAGACATGCTATGGTTCTAATCTTAACAAATCTAAGAATGTTTAGAGGCCTTTTAATACTCGCATCACATTCAATCTGCAGTTCTGCAACTATATTGGTTCACTACATATTATCAAGAATTTAATCTCCCTTGCAACTCATCTTTTTCCCTCATTCTTTTTGCTTTCCCTTGGTGGTTATTGGATGTTCGAGTGCCACTTCCACATTTCTGATACCTAATTTCAGTGCTGTTTCTTATGTGGTTATCTTAGTGCAATACACTAACACATTATTGTGCAAGATTGAGCTATGTGGTATTTTTCTCTGCTCAGCTTGTTGCTTGCTGAGGGTGATATGGCCTTATGCCTGTAATTTAGTATCTATCTGGTAGTGATACGTCAGAGAGATTGAAGGAATGTAATTACAACTTCTAAATTCTTTTTCTTACTAGACACTTGATGGTCACCTGAGATTCATAAAATCTTGAGGCAATTGTTACTTCCAAGACTGGTTTAATGTTTTATCATCCGCTTAGAATGCTATGTTTGTTACTCCCGAGTTTTGATGTTTGGTTGCTTGTTATGTTAGGATCTTAATCAACCACACAGGCCATCACAATCCGTTGATATTTCTAAGGTTTTGTAGATATTCATCTAGCGATTATCTGCATCTCAACCTTGATCTATAAATTCATTTAGTTGACAGAAGAAACAAGGCCTAGAGTTCTATGTCTGCTATGGAATATGAAAAGGAAAATTCTGCTTATACTTATGTCACATGAATACAATGTATTGAATTTACTTGGTAGCTCTGTTATTCTGTATTTTTTATGGCATAGATGCTTGTTTCCTGGCTTGAGTTTATTGTCATTTTGTCAAATTGTATCTTGGTTCTTAGAGTGTTGCTGGCTATTGTGTTCCTTTGACGTCTTTACCTCTTTATAAGGTATGTAGGGTCAACTCACTATTGTTCTTTTTTGTCCCCTTTATCATTCAGCTACCATGGTTGATAAGGAGAAGGGAAGATAAAAGTTTCGAGGAAAATGAAAATTCCTTTCTTAAAGGAGCGCAGGTGCTTTGCTTAATGATTAGATATCAGTAGAATAACCTTGCAATATATTACTCCATACATTGGTATAGTGAAGAAGCCGACTGAACTTAGCTTTAAGCTCAAAGGTTAACCACATCAATGGAATTGGTCGGAGTTGTCATTTGTAATACCAAAGTGATTCTATGCACTCAATGTTGAAACCGTTTTTCTTTCTAGTGTGAATTTGTGATCTATTAATGGAAATCATAGGTTTGATACCAAACTACCAACCTTGAACCATGGGAAATTACAGTTTGGTACTTTGGTGGCATGTCCATCACATCCCAGATGTCTACATTTTGAATGAAACAAAGGGTTGGATGGGAATTCAGATGGAATTTCCCTTTATGTATGTTGTACATGAGTTTATGTCTTTGAAGGATGTCTGAAGCCATTGATCTAGTAGATTTGTTTGTTGTGCATTAGTTGCTTCAATTATGAGACACTGATTTGTTAGGTTCTCTAGGAGAGTCCCTTGTCTTGTACTTAATCATTTCCCCAAGAGCCAATTTAGGGTGTCCAGAGGCAGATCAATCAAGCTTTTAAAAGACACTTCTGAAGCAATTCAAGATTTGTTGCCCCACCCTATCCCAGTCCCGATCAAGGATGGACCAACAGAAAATTTATCAATTATTAACAGCTCTTCACAATAGTTTATTTGGGTGTGTTTTTGTGAGATAGACGGGAGAGAGGAAAATGAATTTGCGGGGATTATTATTACTCCGTATTATTTTTTTTTTGTAGGACCCGCGGGAGGGGAAGAAAATAAAAAGAAAGACTGTTGATCAGCACCCAGCTGGCGCCCGTTGGGTGCACTAGTAGACAGCTTTTGTTTATTTATTTATTTTATTTTTTTCTTTTCTACTTCCTCTCTCCCGGTTGACAAAAAACTTGACAAAGAATAGCAACTGTTGAGCTTGTTCTAATGCAAAAGTTTCTCTTCTGCATGATAGGATTTGTTTTTCAAAATCTAATGAAGAAAAAGATATATAATAAATTCTTTTAAAAAAAAAAAAAAAAAAAGATATACAAGAAATGGTGTATAATACAATCAGCCATCATCCAGGCTTCTGGATGGAATGCTCTTTATCATTTTATGCCACAAAGATTCAAAAAATATACTTCTGAGACACCTATTCTGTCTTCCACACCATACTATACTGTCCTGAGATTGATTTATGATGTCAAATCTCACCTCTTCATCTGTGATCTGAGTCTGAGAAGAAAGCTTGAAACTTATCCAAATAGACAGCAAAAAGCATTACAGGTACACCCTTTTATGCCATATTTACAGACCTTGACCTTGGCTCTGCTTGGCTCCTCGAGTACTGAATCTTCGCGGCTATCTCAGCCACAACTAGCCTAGTCAGCAGCAAACCCGCGATTAGTGCTGCGATCATCAGCATCGTGAAAACGCCATTCCAACTCCGAGCTGAAATGTAGCCAGTGAGCAGTGGTCCAATGGCAGCGCCAATGGAGCCGGTTCCATCAATGATTGCAGTGACAGTTGCCAGTGCCCGGGAATTGCCTTTCAGCGAGCTGTGTGTTCCCAGGTCAGCCGAGACTGCAGTTGTGACCAGCGCGTAAGGTCCATTCACAAACACGCCAGCAATCAACATGAGGACGATGTTCATGGCCATGGAGACGTGGCCATAGCTCCTGTAAAAGAACAGGGCTGGGATAGCACAGTACATGAAGCTTGCTGCTGTTATGGCTCTGGCATCCAGGTGATCAGATATGTAGCCTGCTAGGATCCCACCCACCACCCCTCCCACATCAAACAGCGTCGATAAGTTCCCAGATTCCTCGTTCGACAAGTACACCCCATCTATGGCTGCACCATCACAACACAACACGATACACTAAGAAACAGCAATCCAGGGAAAACCCCAGTCAAGTTAGTCAGACTGTTCACTTGGTAACCACATAGTTACAAGTTCGACTCCCAACAGGAGCAGCCTATTGGTTGAACTGGTCAGCCATGGGCAACCTAGTCTGGTTTACTTCATTATGGTCCTTTGCCTGCTAGGGTCATAAGGAGGGAACCAGCAACCTAGTAGCATGGACCAGTTGGTAAGCGGGTTGCTAATGTAAAATTAAAACGCGAGAATAGTTATACCTGTGTGGCTAATATAGAAAGGAAGCCAATAGAGGAATGTATAGGCCACCAGCTTGGCAAAGAAAAGGCAAAGAGCGAAAGGGGCAACCCCGGGGATCTTCCATGCTTCAATGAAACCCACAGCTGATTCCTCCTCTCCTTCTGATTTCAGGAGAGGTTCGTTCACTTCCTCGGCTTCCTTTTCAGGGAATCGCGTTTCATCTTCGTCCTTGTTAGCTCGGACAGTGTCGGGGTGAACTGGCAAGAAAAGGAACACTGCCAAGGCCATGAAGGTAATCATTATGCCTGGAACAACCAAGGACCAACCCCATCCAAACTTCAGTAAAACCGAAGCAACCAAGCAGCCTGTAATGTTCCCGATTGAAGTGTGGGCATTCCAGATTCCCATTATAAGTCCTCTCTTCTTCTTCCCAAACCAATTCCCAACAAACGCAACCACTGAAGGCCATCCCGTGGATTGGAACAAGCCGGCAAGCATTTGGACCGTCAAATAGTAATAGAAGAAGTGGATATTTGCCCAATATCCAATTCCAAACAGGACAGTGAATAAACCAGTTCCCACCATTCCCACACTCAAAAATATCCTAAGATCCATCCTATCCCCCATGTGTCCCGAGAAATACATTCCCATCGCATACACAAAAACGAAAGCCACATCAAGTTCACCAAGCAATGCCGTGCCACCAGAACCATCAAAAGGCGACCAACCATTTCCAAGAACCCGTACACTCCCCAAGTTCTGAATCGGTTTCTGAGTATAAACTCTCAGCCATGGGGAGTCCGAGCCCCCACCAGGCGACTCTGGATCAAGCGCGGTTTTGACAACACTAGTTGTCTTCCTTGCAGCATGATACGCAGCATATGCAAAAAACGTTACAATCAAGACAATGGCTTGATACGTCTTGTATGACAGATTGGACTTTGTTATGCACTCATAAACTCGAATTCCAGGGGGCTTACTGTTTTTTCTCTCCTGGATTATCTCTGCAAGAGACCCCATAATTGAATGTTCTCTCAACTCTGATCACAAAGAAGAAACTGAAGAAATAAAAACCCTCCTTTTTAAGATCCAACTAGGGATTTCCTGAAACAAGATATAAAAGACAGCCAGCCAATGAGATATAAAATTCAAATTGTATATAAGCAAACATACAAGTTAAATACAAATTATAATAATGTCATAGAATCAAGGTGGGGCATATTCTTAGCTTCTTATCTAGTTACAGCCTTACAGGTGTGTACTTATAATCTTAAATAAGAAAATCAATATCCAACAACAATTTTACTGTTCCCAGAAATGGAAAAATTAACATTGAATTTCATAAAGCCTGGAAACTAAGATCAGGTGAAAGCACACTCCTATTTCAGTGGAATTAAACCCGAAAAAGAACACAATTAAGCAGCATAATATATAGCACAACACAGTCACACAGAGACATATAAACAAGAAACATTTAGGCTTTTGCAGAATTGCTGGCAGTTCGGGAGTTTCACCCTCTTGTGGAGAGGCACTGGTTCAACCACCTATCGGTCATTGAGTCACAGTGATTTTAACTCATTCACAGTCTCTGAGGTTAAAGATTTCGCCTTTTGCACCCAAAATTACAGGGTAGTTTGCATGATTCTATAAAAGCACAAATCTTCCTTATCCTTACTGGAAATGACTATTACATATATAATTGGAAAAGCCACAAAATACCCACAAACCGACAACAATCTAAACAGTAATATTTTCCAACAGAATTGGTGAAAACAAATTCAAGTTGCAGAGGAAAAAAATTCGCAGAACTTTGAAAAGCTCAAAACTTTAGAATACCCATTCCCTAAAGCTGTTACATAACTTTCCTTTTCCACCAAAATCATAGAAAAAAAAAATCAAAGCGTTCAAGAATAATTAAAGGGAAAAAGAGCCATATTGAAACGTAAGGAAATTTGAGAAAGAAACGTAGATGAATAGCTGAGAAGCTAACCTTGCTTTTGTAAAGGTTAATGGAAGCTTGTGTTTCTCTCTATATGTATATCTGTATGCGTGTGTATTGTGTATAGATTCTCTGTTTGTATTTATGTATTGCAATAAAGAAGCAGAGAAAGGCAAGCTTATTCCACAAGTAGTCGAGAGTGGGAAAGCTTAGCCTTCATTTGAAGGGGACGGTAGTGATTAATGAACACGAGGAATCTGTGAAAACTCAATATTACCCTCAGGTTCCTTGTCCTTCAACGTCCAGAGTCCTGACCTTTCAGTTGTTATAAAGTGGACCATGATCGTTGAATAAAACTGTAGCAGAATTAAAATGATATTTTAATGTTATTATAATGAAATTAGTGTATATGGAAAATGAAACTAAAAAATAGAGCACATTATTATTATCAAATGAAATTGTAGTATAATTAAAATGATACTTTAGTATTACTGTAATGAAATTATTGTGCATGAAAAATGAAACTAAAATCCAGTTACGATCTAATTATTCGTTATTAATTTTAAGAAATCTGATATCTCAATTGCTCGAAGAGTAACAAATTTAGTATCTTTGCTAGCAGAAGTCATGAAAACCCTCGTAACTAGGGATTTTAGAAGGTTATTTTGGAATTTCACACATTTTCCCTCCAACAATTCTTCCATCCGCAAGCTAAAAGCTATAGGTATGAACATTTTCCACGACATCGGTCAGCAAAGGGACTAAATTTGTAATTTTTTGAACAATTGGGACCGTTTACTAACTGAAAATTTTTGAAAATTTTCGGAAACTGGAAAATAGAAAACAGAAAACATGTTTACTAATACAGTTTTCATTTTGAAAACTGAAAATAATTTCTGAAAATTTTTGAAAAACTGAAACACACTTAAAAACTGTTTTCTAAATGGAAAACAGAATCATCTATCATCTATTTAGTTATATGTCACTATAACCACATTACTATGATTACTTTCATTATCATCTTATTTTACTTATATCACTATCTTTTATCTTTTCTATTTACTTTATTTATTTAAACATAATTTATTTGCTTACACTTTAAAGTTAGACATTATTTACATTATCAAAATTAAGAATTAAATTCTATATAATGTTTTAGATTTTGATTGAACTCAATAGATTATTAGTTCGAATATGTTTAATTATGTTATATCATAATACAAGTTCGGCCCAGATATCGGATATTGAAATCTCACATATATTAGAATTCAAAGTAAAAGTTATATATTCATATACATGTCATTCAAATGAATATATCCAAAAAAAATATTTTAGATATTAGCTCAAAAAATATTAATATTATCTAAACTAAATTTTAAGTGAAAAATGAAAAATTAAAAAACAGAGAATAATTTTCTGTTAGTAAACAATTTTTCTAAACAGAAAACACAGAATGAAAAACAGAGAATGAAAATTGAAAAATTAAAAAACAAAAAGCAGAGAACAATTTTCTGTTAGTAAACGGACCCTGAATTTCTTTAAAATGACAATTAATTATATTAGCAACAATTGTGAGACAAAAGGTACTCTCATTTATATTTAAATATATCTTTACAGAAAATCTGCAATAACAAAGAGTAAGAATACCAATTACCAACTACTATAAATAGAAAGACACTCTTAACATTTTTATAAATATAATATTATAATAATATTACATTCCATTCTTTTTTTATTTATAACATTGACATTCTATAGGGAACTTTTCATTAAGAAAATAAAATTATCAAATATCATTGTATATTTAACTTTTGAAAGTACTCTTGAAGTTTTATTTTAAAAGAAGAAGATCGATGAAGGATGCAAATAATATTATTTAAAATTGAATAAGAATATTATTATTAGTATAAATTAAAATTATATATGTCGCATGCCCGTTCATGTCATTAGCAGTGCTGGCATACAAATATTTGTTAATTATGGTAAAATATTGACTGATTAAGTTATGCTTGCTTCGTTCTAAGTTCCCTATAAGCACTTAACGCCATAGCTTGACAAATGCTACAAATCTAAGGTATATCTTTAACTTATTATACTTTTAAACATTATCATTAAATCATATAATAGAAGAAAAACATGGCCGGTGCATATGTAAGCATACAATATATCGCTAATAGAAGAGATAATGAAAAGTATAATAATGATGATATTTTCGCCAAAAAAAAAAATCTATTTTAAAAAAAAAACCTTAGGTGATTTTAGTTTTGTCGGACTAATCTTAAATTCACAAGATCTCGCTCCTAAAGCTAATGCGGGGGTAAATAGTGAGTCACACAATTAATCCACCTATTAGATCTTAGTCTTCATATGCGCACAAATTAAGAATTCAGTATTAATTATTGATTATATGAATTGAATACGCCGCAAGAAATGAGAGGTTGTGTACAATGAGAACAGAAAGTTGGGTTCAAGAGACTAAGAGCATCCTCATCAGAGGATAATATGGAGATAATAGTACACAAATATGCAGCTTAACAGATGGGAGAAGGAGAGAATGGAGAAAATAATCCTCCTGCAAAGGAGGGGAGAATGGCAGGAAAAAAAAAAAAAAAAAAAAAAAAAAACATCGCAGTTCCGCGCGTAGCGCGGAACTGAGGAAAAAGGCCGGGCGCGTGCAGTGCACGCGCCCGGAGGCGCGTCTGGCGCGCCTGACGCGACTGAATTCTTTAATTTTTTTTTGTTTTAAAAATCAATTTTGGTTTTTTTTTTTTTTTTTTTTTTTTCTCCCCTTCTCACATTCTCTCTCCCAATCACTCTTATATTATCCCCCAAATCTTCCCAACTAATGTGGATGCTCTAATGAGCTCCTAACATCGTAAGTAACCATAAATATTGATTGTATGATATGGTATTTACTAGTAAATGTGATAGGATTTACTCTAGTATCCTTTTATTGGTTAATTAATGTAGTTGATGAATCCGATAGGACAACAATATATCACAATTATTAATGGTGGCGTATAACTAGACGTCTAGACTTCTTAGCTTACAGACTTATATTGACATGTTTAATTTGGCCTCTCAACCTATACTAGTAAATTTAAATTGAGTATTCTAAAGTTTAATATACATCGACATAGAGCAATCTCATTAGACTATTTTTATTCACCAATATTCTCTCACTTTTAAAAATGAGTCTCACTTCTACATCATCAAAATTTACAATTTCTCAACTATTTTATCTACATCCATGCAATATATACTCTCTAACTTTTAAAAGTGATTGCAAGCTAGCTACATAAGCTAACAAAATAAAACAAACAAACAAAAATAATATTCACATTACCTTTCACATCATCATCTTGAGAGGGGTTCACTTGCTAAGATAAGGCTATCCTCACCCTTGCAATACTCTATCACTTTCAAAAGTTAGTCCTACTTCCACATCGCTAATTTTTCAATTCAATTACTATTTACACTACATCCAAACAAATCAAATTCAGTCACCTTCAAATCTGAGCCCCAATTTCACATCACTTTAAAACATTAATAAAATTTTTTAAAAGAAACAAGAAAAATACAGCATGACAGCTTTTGCTCAAGCTTGCTAGCCAGTAGCCACTGTGACATTAATATTAAAAAAAAAAAAAAGTTGTTTTTCTTTTTTCTTTTTTCTTTTTCCACTTCATTTAGCAAGACTTCATTTAGCAAGTGAGAAACTTGATGGGATGACAACCTTATTAGAGAGGTTTTTTCTTCTAATTTTTTGTGAACCTTAGCATCCACCTCATCATCCACTATATCACTCAATCTCAAAAATATTCTCCCTATTAATTTTAGATTTTTCTTTTCAATTTTTTATGGACTCACACTATTTTACTCCACTATATTTTAATTATTTTTTTATTTATTATCATTATAAAAATTATAATTACAATTATTATTTTTAATATATTTAAATTAAACATGTTAAAATTAAATAAAGAAGTTGGTTTAATAACTAAATTAAATAAAAATGTTAAAAGAAGAAGAACGCCAGCAACAGCCTGTTTTTTTTTTTTTAAAAAAAAAAAAGGTAACAATGGTTAAGAGTGACTGCTCGTTGGTGACCACTCTAAACTGCCCCGTGAGTGTGTGTAAAACACGCGCTTATTGGGTGGCTCGTGCGAGGCAAACACAAGCGGAGTATACCTTTTTTTTTCTTCTTCCGCAAAAATTTCTTTAAAATTCACAAATCACGTTGCTCTTAAAATATTATATTTATTATTTTAATTAGTTATTAAACTTATTGAACTATCCAATAACATAACCTTAATTATCCTCAAGGAAATAAAAAGCGTATTAACTATTAACTAGCTAGCAAATGTATTTTACTATTTTGGTTAGATAGACGCAGAAGGAATGCATGCGTGCAATATAATTCATCGTTTAAGCAGTGGCAGTCAAGTCATTTCACATGCCGATCCGTGATGAATAAGCAATCCAGGAAACTTCGCGCGAGGACGCTCCAATACAAAATAGGATATTCCCCTGCTCGGGGAACATAATTCACTTATAATTTTGCATTATACTGCGTGGAGTGTATGAATTCTACACTCAAAAATTATGTGTAATGACTTTTTTTTTTTTTTTTTTTTTTTTAATATTTAGTCGTATCTTTCATCTCTTGGCTATGCTGTGCTTACTTGTCCGAGTCAGGTGAGTCGTGACCCCTTCACTCCAGCTGTTACCTGCTCTTTAGTCTACGATTTTTTACATTACAATAATAGTTCTTTTATTTAACTCTTAAGACGCAGACAACATCCTCCTAAAATTAATTGTAAAATTATGGATGGATTATGATATATTTGACTATTTAAAAATTATGAGTTTAATTCTTATTAATTTTTTTTTAATCGAATCCGTCACACTAGTTTATTTATGAATTGATGAAGTTAATGATTGTTTGGGATTGAAGATTTGAATATTTGATCATGTTCTGTGGTTGGTTTGGATAGGAAACAAATTTAGGGAAATTACAGAGGAAGCTTCGTTGCATTGTTTCGACTCGCTTTTTGGCTACACAATGTCTGGATGGTGCCCAGATCAGATCAGCTCCTTATCGAGAACGTAGCCCATCATCCATGGTGTTTGTCCTCATCAATTGGTCAATCAATTAAATTGTATCTCA